GTTCTGAATGAATTTCACTTAAGTTTACGGTTATAACCTCATCTATACATGAAGGACAAACAGATCTCAAGCAAGCACATGGTCGAACATCAAACAAACAGATCAACACACAGCATATTTATATTCCATTTCCAAGAGATTTAATTTACATAAATTAGGCCTATTTCCTAATAACTCTTCCAATAAGACACACATTATGCATCACACAGTATACAGCATGTCAGGTCTAAGAGTTAATTATTGCGACTGTTGAAGCAAAGAGCTCTGTTTTAAATCCCAGGCTTAATACTGGGTACTGAACATTCATTTTACTGGATGTTTACAGAACTCAGTTAATTTAAAGAGTATAATTCAATGGCCTCTCTAAATGAAAAGTGAAAAGTAAGTTCTTTGTAAAGTTAATCAATGTAATATTAAGTACATTTTAAAGCACTGAACAATAGTGAATAATAAATTAAGAAAGCTAGATTAGGCAAAATAAGTTGATTAAGCGTGTATTGAGCTTTCCATTCTCATGGTAGTACAGTAATTAAAAGTGAATGAGCAACCTGTAAAATGCACTGAATATTTTTAATTGTGTGACTGCCAACCACTTAGAAAACTAAGGCTTAAAACAAATGAGCTGTTAGCACAGGGAAACCAACTACTATACATCCTGGTTCAAACATGAAACATAATATCTGAGCAACAGTACTATGCAAAATGAGAAATGTACATAGATCTGTGTAACTCACTATCTAAAAAATCGAAAACCATGTTGGCGATGAGCTATACATCAAATGTGTAGCATAAGAACTCAGGGACAGATGTTCCCAAGGGTAAAATATATTTAACATGAATGTGCAGGAAGGATTCAGTCTAGTCTTAATTCTGTTTTAAGCAAACATGCTTGAAGAACAAAATGGCTGAATAGTTTAAAATTAATATTAGGATATTATAATGGTAATGAGATATAGGCTGCAATTAAAACACAATGTATGGATTTTGGAGCTTAGAACATTTTTATCCCATGACTGTAAAATGTTGCACTAAATGAATCATTCATTCAAGGGAAGAAACTATATATTTGCATTGAGTGAGGTGCTGCTATATCTTCTTCCAACTGAACAGTACATATTGACTATCCTTTTACTGAATTACTTAAAGAATCAGGTTTAATCATAACTTGAAGGTAGAGCATTACAGTCTCAAAAAAACATTCTCATAAGTTGTGCAACTGTTAAACATTTCACTTTAAGCCATCTATGATCAATGGTAGCATCTGAATTTCATGCCTTTTCTTTAGAATGGAGCACAGTTTGTTTTTTTAAGCATGCAAGATGGACAATTCTTCACTTTTTGTATGGGTAGAAATTGTCACTGTGCTACTATCACCTACACTGAGCTTTTATTTATAAGACAAATCAAAGAATGAAGATCACAAGTGACATTAAAAAAAACAAACTGGGATAATTGTTCTCGAACGAGGGCCTGTGCACGTTATGCCAAGAGTGAAACACTCCAAAAGTGTTAACACTAGTAAAGAAATGAGCAAACATTGGTTATTTGAACTTGTACGGGAGAATAGTGTTTTGGGAAAAAATAACTACAGTACAGACAATTTAAAGCTTGACATATTTGTTCATTTAAACAAATGTGTGTTTGCCTCGCATAAAAAAACAATCTATTGCTCCTTCCTTGCCCCTTCATATAAATTGATAGGTTACTTTTATTCTTATATATAGATATTTTTGATTCACACTCCAAAAATGCTCCCCCTGCACACATGAAGATCTAGTAGGCACTGTTTTCCTCATGATCCATAGACTGCAGAGATATTAAATCAAAACCACTATCCATCTATACTCTAATTCAACAGATTTATGTTCACAAATGTAGAATAATAATGATTACTAAAGCAGCAAATGTTTAAATGCATGAAAAGGAAGTGATAATTAAAAAAAAAAAAACATAAGAAGCATTTAAATCAATGAGCTTTCTAAATGTTTCTAATGAACAAGGTTACATAGGACAGGAAGAAAAGTTCTAAATGACCCAACTCCTGAAGGGTCCATTAGAGAAAAAAGAAGACTTGACTGTTAGGGTTATTGAGAGCTACTTTGTCCAGAGTTTGTTAATAAAAAAAAGTCACTTCTGTGCCACTGAGTACTTGGAGAACATTTCTGCGCTTGTACAAAGATCCTGTAGAAATTGTTAACTTCAGAGACTGTTTTCTTTGACTTCCTAAATGTCTACATGAGTAGATGCACCAGGACCAGAACCACAGACAAATCACATACTGTATCCTTTTGGACTTTTTTTAATAAAAACATTTTTCAAAACTTTTTTTAAAGTGGGTCCAGTATTCAAAAATCTTTTTTTTTTTTAAATCTTAATCTTCATTTTTTTCTAACTGCTTAAATCCTAGTGATTTAGGACTGGATAATCCTATGGAATATGAATTTCACTATTTGAGACTGAGATTCCTGAAAATCCAATTCACCTTCGTAAGAGTCAACTGTGAAAAATTCTCTTTACTTAAACTTGAAATACCGTTCTCGCTTTTTCAAATATGCCTTTTTGTTTTGATTGCAGTCATGTGTTAAGGAGCGATAGCTATTGGGACCAGCAAAGACATGCTCCCATGTGCATGTTAAGCTATACGAGTGTGAGGGTTCCACAAGCAATAGCACACAATTGACTGAGAAGCTGCATGCTTGTGATGCTGTCATTTAGGGATGGACTTCTCCTCCTCAATGTCTTAAAACCTGAGTGACTTGAAGTGGGTGTACGGTAGGAATCTGTCTACACTTTTTCTTCCTGCCCCACTTGTGGTTACAGAACTAGCAGTCATGAAGCAAGACATGAAGACACAACTGTTTAGTTCCAAATACAGTGGATATATACAGAATATTATTTGGTGGATAATAATTAAGGTTATACATTGTGCATATATATTCATCTGTAATAATCAAGGCTGTTATGTGGCATACGGTAATATTTTACAGCATCTGTTGACTAAAATAGTCAAAAAGCAATAACAGGCCTGACAATTTCAGCATTCCTTACCTTCATGAAATGCACCAAACCAGCTAGCCCTGCAACCTAACTGTGCATTTCAAGAACATGTTTTAAAGGCAAACAGTATGCTAATACGCTGGATCAGTGACATGAAGTGAAAACCAGTCAGATCTCAGCAAGCCGGCAGCTCCATGCTGTAAGAATCTGAACAAACTCCGTCTAATAATACCTGGCAGTCCCACCTTTGGCATTATTGTGACCACACATATTTAAATTCTAGTGCAGTGGCTGAAAACGGAAAATCCCAATACCGCTTGAAATATTTACAGTCCAAG